CTGGGGAGGGGGGGTGCTGTGTGAAGTGGGCCAGACAGCTCTCTGAGGAGGTCACCATTGCCAGGGACCAGTGCAGGGGGCCCAGGGTGGCCATAACATCTGGGTTATTTGTCTAAGAAATAAATCCCAATCTGAAGGGGAAATCTCATTTTGAAATGAGGTCAGTCCAAACCAATTCCTATAGGCCAGGAGACATGCCAAGGCTTTCACCACACTGGCCCAGAAACTTCTTAGACCGGATCAGGATCCGTCTTAGTGATTCCTGCCTCATGGGCCCAGATTCTGACCAGGTGCTCCACTGAGACCTTGCCTGGGCTGAACTCTGGATGGGAGATGAGATGAGGAAGATGTGACTTCTCAGAGGATGGGAGAATCAGATACTGTTTGGTGTTTTGTTTTTATGTTTACTTGTGATTTATTTTTAAATAAAATTTTTATTTTGTCATTTTAGCAAAAGCTCACAGAAAAGTTAGATTTTCATTCATTCATTCTTGCACATTTAACCCCTTCTCCCTCCTTTCCCCCTCCCCAAGTTGACGTTTTTCTTTTCATTAGTTTATTTACAAAATTCTAATACAAATTCGAACAAATTCTTTCAATTTCCCTCCCCCCCCCCATCAAATTGTACAACCCAATAATTAAGCCCATCTTCCCCCTGTACATCCACATCTCTCTGCTTCCAGCCTCTCCCACCCCTCCTGGATCCTTATACTCATTCTACAATAATGGTCTTATACAATATTTGTCCTTATGGGACTGAGTTAGTTCACTCAGCATAATGCTCTCCAGTCCCTCCCAAGTTAGGCATAATTTACAAATAACTTTACAACTAATTTGGGAGCAATAGCTTTTTCAATCAGATCCTGTTTTTATGGTGAGAGAGAAGTGATGGAAGAACCCTGGTGCTATGGGAACTCAGCAGGGACAAACTAGGGCTGAGAAATCTTGCCACAGTTAAGCACCTGCTGTGTGTTGGGACTTGGTGATACGTGACTTGGTCTCTACCCTTGGGATCTCACACTGAAACAGCGTCTGTACATCAACTTCCTTTCCCTTCTACTTTTGACTTCTCCCCCGTCCTCCTTAGTCATCTCTGCAGTTACACCTTCTAGAACTGTTGGGTCAGAACTTGCAGAACTTGGTTATGAGGATTTCTAGTTTATTCAGTGCTTACTAATTGCTATAATCATCAGTTTACACCAGTGTTGGCATTTTCCTGTGCTTTGGGGTGATATGTTCTAAACTGGTAAGTTGAAGTCCTGTTTCAAACCAGACTTGCATGGATGAGCTTTATTTTATTTTTATTGTATTATTTTTTACGCATACCATCAAATCAGATCTGACTGGTACAGGAGGAGATTGCCCCCTCCTTCTCCAGAGCGCCTGGTGGATTCGAACCGCGTACTTCTGGGATTGCAGTGCAGCGTCTTGCCACTAGGCCTCCAGAGCTCCCTAAGGATGAGCTTTAAGAATCAAGATTTCATGCTCTCAAATCTGACCTGTCACAGATGATGCTGATAGCTGGGCTGAATAGGTGGGATGGGGAGCTCTTTGGCAATTGTTGGGAGGTGTTACATACTGTGAACCACCATGGAGAATTACTTGATACATGAGCATGGTAAAGGTTCTGAGAAGTCCTGCAACAGGGAGATCTGTTTGATTTTGACTCAGCGTTTTCCAAATGCTTATTAGCTTGCTGAATTGCTTTCCCTCTTCTCATAAAATCATTTAATATCCTTCAGAACCAGTGTTCCACAAAACACCCTGGAAACACTTGTGGAAATGATTTCTTTCGGCCAAAGACTGCCCAATGGCCAATGTAGGTGGTCAGCGAGAGGAATCTCTTCTCTGCAAGTACTGAGTTTTGTTTGGCCCAACTTGTTGGCCCCAAACTGGGGAAATAGTACTCTGCTCCAGGCAAAGAGATGGTACTGTGGAGGGAAAACCCCTTCATCGATTGTTGGAAGAAATCATATAAAAGCCGAGCTCTCTGTGGACTGAAAGGCAGAGAGTTGGGGTGGGAGGGTATGTGCCGGCATTTCCTCCTCCTCGAGTGGCTCCCAACTAGGATACACTCCGTGCCTCCTGTCTAAAGATAAGTATTTAAGCAGCCTGGATCACAATAAAGAAAGTGCATCTGAGACTCCTAGTGACCTGTGGTGATGCCTCAGGAACATCTTGTAAATGTGGGACATTTTGGAAATAGCCTTTGATGGAACAAAGCATGTTTGTAAAACACAGTGTAACACCATTATTTGTTTTATAATGAAATATATAAAGAACAGAAAAAGGTTCTCTTTAGATGGTAGAATTATGGACAGTTCTTCATTTCTCGTTTTGTCTGTTGACTACTTTTCTATCATAAAAATGTATTCACATTGGAAAAAGAAAAGAATAAATAATGTAGGTAATCTACTTTATCCATCCGTCTGTCCATCCATCCATCCATCTATCATCTGTCCATCCTTCCGTCTATCCATCCATATCTGTCCATCTGTCTTTCACTTGTCAGGGCCCTTGAGAGACTTCTGTCTCCTCGCAGTCCCATGTACAGCAGAATACAACGCTGTCTGCTCCTGTACCATTTTCGTAATAGCTGTAATGCTTCATCCCATTCTTGTGACATTACGCTAATCCTTCTTGCCAAGGGCCTTCCTCTTTGACTTTATCAACATGATGTCCCTCTCTAGTGACTGGCCTGTCCTTATAACATGTGTAAAGTATGTGACATGATACTGCACCATCCTTCTAAGGAGTGTTCTGGTTGTATTTCTCCCTGAGGAAAATTTTGTTTATTTTTCTGGCAGCCCATGAAATATTCAATGTGTGTTGTCCATACCACTATTCAAAGGCATCGATTCTTTAATTTTCCTTGTTCATTGTCCAACGTTTACAGTTTTGAATATGATTACATTCAATCGTATGCCTCACATACGATTGAAGATCCTGTATCAGGTGCACCTTTGTCCTCAAAGTGATATCTTTACTCCTCCCCAAAGAAGTTTTTTTTTCAATAGATTTCCCCAGTGTGCTATGAATTTGATTTCTTGACTGGGGCTTCCATGGACTGTAGATCCAAGTAAAATGCACTCCCGGACTACTTCAATCTTTCATCTTTATTATGTTTATTGGTCCTCCTGTGAGGATTTTTGTATTCTTGATGTTGAAGTGTACTCTGTAGTGACGGCTATTTAGTCTTTGATCTTTAGTTTTTGTTGTTATTCTTGTGTACTGTTGAATCAGACCTGACTGGTACAGGAGGAGATTGCCCCTCCTTCTCCAGCAGAACATCTGGTGGATTTGATTTGCGCACTTTGGGGATTGCAGCTTAGCTTCTTGCTACGAGGCCTCCCTCGTCTTGATCCTGACCGGCAAGTGCTTCAGGTTCTCTTCACTTTGAGCAAGCGAGGGTGTGTCATCTGTGTAACCTTCTAGTGCAGGTTGTTGAGGAGTCTTCCTCCAATCCTGACGCTTCTTTCTTCATACAAGTTCAGCTTCGCAGAGTATTTTACTTAGCACACAAGCGACAGGATTCAACCCTGGCACACACCTTCCTTATTTGAAACTGCTTGGTATCACCTTGTTCTGTTCAAAGAACACAATTTTTTTTTCTATATTTTATTAATTTTCATAAACATTTACAGAGATTTTGGGTTTCCACTCATTCATTGTTGCACTATTCTCTCTACCCTCCTCCCAGTTTGTTCTTGTCCAAATGCCACAGTGCTTGTCAAAGCCAGTTCTGATTAATCTTCTTTGTCAGTGTGTCCTTTGCCATTCCCTATCACTCCTCCCTGAGAGAGTCTTCACCCTGAGTCATAAGGAAAAGGGGATGGCGTATTCTCTTAGCTACTTCCTGCTGAAAAGGGACGCTGTGGGTTTCAGGGTGAAGATCTTCTCTCACTACTCTGAAGGGCCCCTTTGGCAGTAGGAAACACATAGACTGTTATGGAGATTGATTTTGGAATTTAGATGCACTCTTATTGATTGTGCTTGGCCGTACATGTTCATATCCTTGAAGATGTATCATGGGGGTGTTGCAACCTAGAAGACACAAATTTGACTAACAAGTTATAAGTACATGAGTCCAAAAATTATGGAAAAGTAAAAGAAAAGATTCTTTCATTGTTTTACAAACCCTCCCCCAGGTCCCCTCCACCATGTAGCCCTCGCTCTAGTCTCCTGTGATGACAGAAATACCCATTCCTAGGCTTTGTAATGTTGTCTACTTTGTTATGACCTGTAATTATGTATCTATATAATTTGTATATAAAATTTATCCAACTCAAAACTCACTGGGGCAGCTGACTGGACTCACAGCCGACTGTCTCTTGGGTTTCTAAGGCGGTAAATTGCACAAGAGGAGACTTCATTTTTCTCTTACAGAATTGCTGGTGAATTTGAACTTCCAGAGGGGGTGGGTTCTTTGGGTCAACGGTGCAACTCCCTACAGGTTATACTATAAAGCTTACATATATATGTTGTTGTTATGCATGATCGAATAAAAATTTACGCAGAGCTGACCCTCCAGTGGGTGGGTTGTTTTTGTTTTATTATTTTGTGTGTGTTTACCGTCAAATCAGATCTGACTGGTACAGGAGGAGACTGTCCCTCCTTCTCCAACAGAGTATCTGGTGGGTTTGAACCGCACAGCTCTGGGATTGCAGTGCAGCTTCTTCCCACTAGGCCACCAGAGCTCCCTTCCAATGGGTTTTCAGAAGCAAGAAATCATACAGGAGATTGCCTGTCTTTCTCTCGTGGAGCAGCTGGTGGATTTGAACTGAGGACCTGTGGGTTGTTAGCACAACTCCTTTCAACTAAGCCACCAGGACTCTAAAATGTGTCTGTCACACGAGCCGTGTGTATGTACATACATGCATGCCTACATCTTACATAAATAAAAAATTCCTAAAGCAAGTGGATTAGCAGTTGGTGGGTTTTTGTCTTGAGTCTTTGGTTTCCAGTATCACCTGCTGAGTCTACCACTCTTCATCTTTCAGATGGACAGCAGATTTGGGAGATGGAAGCCACGGTGGACAAAGACAAGAGCCAGCCGGTAAGCTCACAGACGAGACAGTTTTCTTTCCCTTCCCTCTGCCTGCCTCATGCTCGTTTTCCTCCTCCTATTTCAACTTCCCGATCAAAGCCCCGGGCGCCGTGCTGGCACCCAGTGAACTTTGAATGACTGTGAGTTGAATTGATGTCCGGGTGAAACATTCACTGGACACCAGGTCCCCTGCATCATGGCTTGTGCCATCGTAATGCCCTTGGACTCCATGCTGGCACCCAGTGAACTTTGAATGACTGCGGGTTGAATTGATGTCCGGGTGAAACATTCACTGGACACCAGGTCCCCTGCATCATAGCTTGTGCCATCGTAATGCCCTTGGACAGAGTAACTACAGCTGAGGAAATGCTGTCCCCTTAGCATTTCCTCTTGGAGGGACAGAAGGTGCCAGGGTTCATTTCAGACGGGCCAGGCGAACGTGTGACAAGTGTGAACGTGCTTAGGACCTGACACAGGGATTCTGGCATTGCTGCAGTGACCACTTCCTGCTTTCCAGAACATGCTTTTTGTTGAGATCCCCGAGTACCGGAACAAGCACATCCGTGCTTCCGTGAAGGTGAACTTCTATGTCATCAATGGGAAGAGGAAACGAAGCCAGCCTCAACACTTTACCTACAACCCAGGTGAGGCATTCTTGTTGGGGCCCCTTTGGTGGGGAAAGACCTCACAGGCTAGCAGGCAAGGCCCCTAAGGTCTGACCCTAGCTGTGTCTCCTTGGCCAAGTGACTCAGCTCTCTGAGCCTCAGTTTCTCCATCTGCCAAATGGGATTTATATCTTTAAGACTTAGGAACGCAAATGCACCTGAAATGCCTGGTAGATAAAATAACAACAGAAAAACAACCCCAAAACCAAAACAAACCCCACAAACCACTGCCAGCCAGTTGATTCCAGCTCACAGCAGCCCCATGAGAGAGTAGAACTGCCCCGTGGGGTTTCCGAGGCTGCGGTCAGCCTTCATGAAAGCAGACTGTCACTTCTTCCTCCTGCAGAGAGATCATGAGTTTGAACTGCTGACCTGTGGGTTCACAGCCCAGCACCTACTCTACCATGCTGCCAAGGCGCCTGCCTGGCTAATGTTGTTGTTAGGAGCTGTTGAGCTGATTGCAACTCACAGTGGTCTTACTACTAGGTTTCCTCGGGATAGAGACAGAAGGTGACTAAGCCTGAGAACCTGCAGACTCTGTCGTTGACCCTTAGTCTGGAGTCACCGTGTGGCCAAGCTGGTGGACACCAAGCCAGGAGGTGTCACGCTCACACTATCCCATAGCTCCACCAGGGTGCCAGGTGTCTTTTTTCATTCATTTGTCCAGATGTATCTGAGCACCAGCTACTGTTCTTGGTGACACAATGGTGAACAACATGTAGGAATCCTTGCCCTTTGTGGAGCCTCCATCCTCATAGAGGGGACTCAGATAATGGACGATAGCGATGCTAGTGCTGTCCCCAGATGATGATAAAGGACTGCCAGGGAGAGGAGGAAGCAGAAGTGTCATTTAATACAAATTCTCTGAGCTCTCCCCTTGGAACAACAGACTAGAAACTTCCCGGGGCTGAGCCAGACCGAGCAGTCATCTTTCCAAGAACAGGAGCCCATGACCGGTGACTCTGACCAGAGTGTCATTTCTGTTGTTGGGAGTGTGACATGGAGCCTCTGGGCGCTCTGAGCTTTAAGCCAAAGGGGCATCCCGGCCAGCAGAGCGAGTGGCCTTGGCTCCGGCCAGGCGCTTTTGTAGGTTTGCGCTGGTTCCTGCTCCCCTCCCACGGCTGTCCCGGCCCCCATAAGCATGCCAGTGTCCCAGGTCCCACGTCCCACACTGGTCAGCAGCCACCGTGAGGTGGCTGAGGCTAAAGGGACCCAAGCCTGTGGGAGAGAATCGCTGGGAAGGCCCTGGACTGCAGACTCGACCACCATTTCAATGTAGTTTTCCAATTAGGTTTTATGGTTCTCTCTACGCTCATTTGGGCAGGGCGGCCACTTGGAGGGGCGGGCATGGCGCTGGTCTGCCCAATCATGGCCAGAGGGAAAATCCAGTCTTCCACTTGGGCCGGGGCCTGAAAACACGGCCTTTGACAGCATCCTGAGAAACAGTTTCCATGGGTAGGAGTCAGGCCTGCATTTTTGCTTTTGATGCTGAACCTCCCTCAACCTCCCAGTGCTTGGGAACACCCTCAAAGTCAGTTTCTTGTCCCACCACTGATTTACGGCAAATAAAAGACAATTGATTTCCTCACTCCCAGGCTGGCCCTTCTTAGTACAGGATACTGGGAATAGACAAATGCTTGTGACTGGGCACCAGAAGGTCTGATGTTAAGGTAGTTAGAGCAATTGGTTGCCAACCATAAGGTCAGTGGTTTGAACCCCTCAGCCACTTCCTGGACAAAGATGTGGCCCCGGTGAAGATTACTAGCTTGGACACCCCTCAGTCACCTTGGAAGGCACTTGGCTTCTGTCTGCATGGTGGCTGTGAGTCGGAATTACCTCAGTGGGCCTTGGTGGCATCGTACCTTCCAGAGCATGGCTGTCTTCCAGAATCGCCTCGATGGTTGCAAATTGGGCCTAGTATTGGTTTTGATGCCTGGTAGGGAGAGAGGAAAGGCCATGAGAATTCTGACAGGAGCAGCAATAATAATTTTAATTAAAAAAATGGTGATAAGAGCAGTAGCCACAAGTATTGGGTACCGACTGTAAACAAGTTACCATGTAAACATGTGGCGTATTCCTCTCATCGGTGCCATAAATGTCTCCCCGGGGTAGATAGGATCACTTCTTGGTGAAAAATGAGGATGGTGAGGCCCACATCCAGGCTGTCTCATGCCCCAGAATATGACCAAGCAGGACCAGTATGGACCAAGCACTTTGGTGTGTGTGGTCTCCAGTGACCAATGATGCCCACTGGTTAGTCACTCATTCATCAGAAAATATTTGAGAGCCAGTTATGCCAGGTATTCTTCTGGGTCCTGGAGTGCCCCCACTGTCCTCCAGAACAGAACACACAAGTCCCTGCTTTGGAGGAGTGACCTCCTGCTTGTGTGTCGGAGGAATTGAAATAATAACCAACAGGTCAAGTTCATTTAACACATCAGATGATGATCCCAAACCAAACCCACCGCCATCAGTTCCGACTCACAGCCGCTTTGTAGGACAGAGTACAGGTGCCCTGCAGGGATTCTGAGACTGTTCTGTGGAGCAGCTGGTAGGTTTGAACTGCCAAACTTTCAGTTAGCTGCTGAGTGTATTAACCCCTGTGCCATCAAAGCTCCTTCCAGATCATGCTAAGTTCTAGTAATAAAAGCGTGGAAGAAAGGCAGGAACTACTAAGGGAGAGGTATAACTGGAAATAAAAAACCCTCTCATCCAAGCTCTCCCTTGGGGAAAAAAATGGACAGCCCATGTCCAGGGGCTCAGCCAGACTGGCCAGCCACCGTCAGGACTGGAAATCTGTAGGTCAAGTTTAACTTGATAAGGATCCTCTTGCGCAGAGTCCATGAGCACCAGAGCCCCAGCCGCCTGATTCCAGCTGTGTGGACCCACCTTCTCCAGTGCTTCCCGAGCCACCTCTTGGCACAGTGCGACTCATTAGCTGTGTGCCCATGTGCCTTTTCTCTCCTCACAGTTCCAGCCATCAAGACGGAGCCCAGCGACGAGTATGACCCGACTCTGATCTGCAGCCCCGCCCATGGGGGCCTGGGCAGCCAGCCTTACTACCCGCAGCACCCGATGGTGGCCGAGTCCCCCTCCTGCCTCGTGGCCACCATGGCTCCCTGCCAGCAGTTCCGCTCAGGGCTCTCGTCCCCTGATGCCTGCTACCAGCAACAGAACCCAGCGGCCGTCCTCTACCAACGGAGCAAGAGCCTGAGCCCCAGCCTGCTGGGCTACCAGCAGCCCACCCTCATGGCCGCGCCCCTGTCCATCTCCGATGCCCACCGCTCGGTGCTGGTGCACACTGGCTCTCAGGCCCAGGGTGCAGCCCTGCTGCAGCCATCCCCAGCCGGTCAGCAGGCCTCGCCGGTCATCCACTACTCCCCCACCAACCAGCAGCTCCGCTGTGGGAGCCACCAGGAATTCCAGCACATCATGTGTTGTGAGAATTTCCCACCAGGCACCGCGAGGCCCAGCCAGCCCCCGGTCAGCCAAGGTCAGAGGCTCAGCCCGGGTTCCTATCCCACGGTCATTCAGCAGCAGAACTCCAGCCAAAGAGCCGCCAAAAATGGACCCCCAGTGAGTGACCAAAAGGAAGTACTACCCTCGGGAGTGACAATCAAACAGGAACAGAATTTGGACCAGACCTACTTGGATGACGGTAAGATGTTTACTGGCTTCAGTGGCCATTCAGAATGATGTCCCCGAATGACCTCTCACCCAGAAGGTTAATCAAGTGGCCTGGATGGAGTCATTAGTCACTTTGGGCCTCGGTTTCCCCTTCTTTCATTTGAATAGCTGGAATGACCCCTAAGACCTCATCCGGTTATATGTGAGAATTACTTCCCCGCCGGAGTTTGAGGGTGGTGATAACAGTTTTAGATGCCTCACCCCACTCCACCCCCCAAAAGAAATGAACGAAGGCCTTCCTGGCTGGAGGGGTGTCCCCGGGTCACAAGCTGGGTCGGTGTTAACTGCAGCACTCGCTTTTCAGTGGCCAAATTTAGACTCGGGATAGGAAGCCAGAAAGGAAAGAAGGCCAACCCCTTCTATTCACAGAGAGAAGAAAGCCCCCACTTTTGAGTTCCCTTTTTGTGTATTTTGGGGGTAGGAGGAGAAGACAGAAGAAGAAAGCCCATTGAGAAGGGCACGTGAATGGGGACTCGCGGGCAGGCCAGGGGAGGGAGGCAGTGGGCTTCCGTTGTGGCTGGGCCCAGGAAAGGCGTAGAGAGGTCTTTGTGTGAGGGTGGAGGTGCCCACACCACTTGGTGCAGGGCTTGGCCAGAGGGTGTCTTAGTGGAGCAACTGTGTGTCCTGGTGGCCAGTGACCTCGGGGAGTATGTGGTATTAGAAAGCTTCACCTGGCATCAACCAGGTGCAGCTGGAGTTATTGGGAGAGGCAGAGCAGCCACCCTGGGCGTGGGGGGCGGGAAGGGCACCAGAAAAAAAGCAAGCAGACAATTGGAGGCTTTTAACAGAAGGCTAAACCCCTACAACCTTATCTGCCACCCACAGCACCAGCTTAGCATTTCACAGGCCGTAGCATCTCATGCTCCCTGAAATCACAATCACTTTGGAAAAAGAACTCGCAAAACTGAGCCAAAGAATTGGAATCAGGCTCAAAAATGTCAGAGCAGCCATCATGGTTATTATCAAGCAGGTTCTACTTGACCCAAGAGCCCACATTTGGTCACAGAGCCCCCTCAGTAGTCACTCAGTCCCAGTCGAGGTGAGCCAGGTTACTGGAGGGGTTCTCTGTCTTCTAGTGGCTTCTAGGTCCTCTCTCGTGAAGCTGTCAGCAGAAACTGACCAGCCATGACTGGCTTGCCCATCCGGTGTAATATATCAGATGACCTCATGGGCTGGCGGGTGCTGACCTCCGCGCACCAGTGTGTTAATAATTGATCTGTTTAACCCAGAATAACCAGATGCAAGCAGATTAGGGTTGCCAGCTGTGTTTTAAGAGAGATCACTTCTTCCTTGACCCACTCACAGCCAAGATGATGGGTGCTTATTCTCAAAGAGGCAGTCAGGTGGATGACTGAGTGAAAGCAGAAATGCTTTGAGCGGGTGGATAAAGGGAATGTGACTGTAACAGGATTCCTCTCTGAGCGAGCGCCTGGGGCCTGTATCACAGGTGAGCTCCCTCTAAATAAATGATGACTGGCCAGGTGGAGCCCTTACCCAGGTGATGCCGCCCTGTGCTGGTCTGGTCTTGAGCGAGACATGCGCGGCCCCTCCTACCCCACAAAGACACTGATGGGTCCCTTGGTATATGTGCTGCCGAAGCGAGCACTGATGGGTCCCTTGGATCGCTGTCGAGAGGCCACTGCCAGTGACCTGGCCTGTCATGGACAACCTCCAGTATGTCCTCTGCAGTCCTGGTAGCGTGTGATGTTTTCATGGGAGCTTGTGACCCCTTGAGGATCTCCTGGTGCATCTTTTCTGATCACCTGTAGGCTGGGAGTTTTGGTGGCAGTGACCTCTGGGCGGAGCAGTAACTCGAATGCACTCTGAGGATGTCTTGGAGGATGGAGTGTGGCTAGGGTGCTTCCCCTGAAGAGCCTGTCGTTGGATATTGTATGCTCTCTGCACAACCCCCGCTCTGTGGGATCTTAACAGACATCTGAAGTGAGGGTGCCGTGGCTCAAGGTGCCAGAAGCCCAAGTTAAACCAAGTTTCTTGGAAAAGCTTGTTTCGTGCAGGACTTCTCAGAGCCTTTACGGGGCTACTAGACTTTGAAAACCTAGATTAAGGGAAGGAGGCACTTCCCAGAGTTCCTAGGGCACAAGCAAGGAAGTGTGCTGCACAACCCCAGGGGGCGCTGTGCATGTCGCATCCCTGCAGTTGTACAGCATGCAGACCTGGACCACTCTGCCTCCACCCCCAGCATCTGGGTGATACAACAAAAGAAACCCCACGTTCTGAAGTCCAGTGTGGCTTCTTGGCCTCCATGAGGTTCCTGGGGCCACAACATCACTCTGACCCCCTGCAATAGCCAGTTCTGACTCGGAGGGACTCTATAGGACAGACGTGAACAGCCCCAAAAGTTCCCAAGGCTGTAACTCGTAACCCAAGCCAGCGGCCCCTTCTTTCTCCCACAGAGTGGCTGGTGGGTTTGAACTGCCAACCTTTTGGTTAGCAGCTGAAATCTTTAAGCATTGCGTCACCAGGGCTCCGTAGGGGCACAACAGACAGTAGATGATTTGACAGGTAAAGTCTCTCGAAAGAGGCCATCAGATGGTCAGCACTTAACTGCCATTCCCTGCAAGCCTCTGTCCGGCCCAGGCCCACCTACAGGGAGGACCCATGTGGCCTGCTGTGCCCAGTGGGTGCCCCAAACTGCACCTTTGGCTGTAAGGGAACATGGAGCACAGCTTTGGTCACAGATGCCGGGGTGCTCAGATGCTGCTGCCAGTAACCCCTGGCCGTGCTAGGAGCAGCCCCGTCTTGGCTTTGTGGCTGTGGGATCTGGACAGCTGGGTTGGTTTGGTGCCTCGCTCCAGCAGGTAACTCGGGCATCTGATGAGTCATTACACTGATGTCTGGCCAGCAGACAGCTTGGGTTTGAAGGTTCATCTCTGCCTTTTCTGTATCATGCAAAGAGGTTTCTCTCCGCTAATGGGCTTGTGTATTTCTGTGCGTGCAGTTCTGATTGGCTGCTGGTTTGCCTTGGAATTTTGGCAGAGTCAGCTGCCTTGAACACTGGAGACCTCAGCTTCTGAGCTCTGAGTATCAGGAGGTTTTTCCTGCTGGGAAGGAAAGGGCTCATCAGTGGACAGTGGCCTTGCCTCTCTGCCCTCCCCTTTCCTTGTCTTCTTGGTCTTTTTCTTCCCTTCTTGTGGGTAGAGAGCTCTTGTAGCCAAGTGGTAAGAAGCTGTGCTGCAATACCAAAGACACACAGTTGGAATCGACCAGCTGTTCCCTGGGAGAATTGAAGGCACACAGTTCGAATCCACTAGCTGCTGGGTGGGAGAAGGATGGATAATCTCCACCTGTGTGATTAGCTATCTGAATACCCTCTTGAGGGTCAGTTATGGGTCACCTCCAACTCAATGGTACTCAACAACAAATACTTGTGCATTGAATGAAAGCTGAAAAAAGCCAATCAATTTTCCAGCCAACAATTTATGCACATTTTATTTCACGATGTTAGTTGTGATCCTCTCAACGTAACAGCATTCCTCCCATCCCCTCCCTGTGTTTCTCGTGTCCATTCATCCTTCTTTCCCACCTTCTGGGCTTTGTTTTGGGGAAAATGCTACCCCTTTAGTCTCTGTTCTTCAAAGAGCCCTCTGTTGTTGATACAGGAGCTCAAGTGCTTGGTTGCTAGGCAAACGGTCAGCGGTTTGAATCTCTTAGCCTTCCTGTGGGGAAAAGGTGAGAGGGTTCGCCTTCTCAAAGGTTTACCACCTTAGGGACCCACTGGGTAATTCTGCTCCGCCCTAGAGCTGTACTGTGTCAGAATCAACTCAGCATTTGTGAATTTGGTTTGAGTTTTTGGTTTATTGTTGTACGCCTTGGGGTTCAGTGTTGACTCATGTGGGTCCATGTGGCCAATCAGAGCTGTCCGATAGGGCTTCCTCGGCTGTCATCTTCACAAGAGCACGTCGCCAAGGCTTGTCTTCTGTGCAGTCCGAGTGGGTTTTTCAACCACGAACTAGTTCAGGTATTTAGTCGGTTAGTTAGTAGTTCAGTTATTTAGTCAATTCTGTGGTTGAGTTTGTAGTCAAGCATTTAACCATTTACATTAAGTAGGGCTCCTTCTCTCCCCAGTGTGTCCCCTGTTCTCACCACTTCACACCTGTAAGTGATGACTGGCTCCTGACATCATCAGGTGCTGTTCTGAACCTCTGGGACACACATGGCTAAATTAGGGTCTGTGCTTTTACGGTGCTTTTTGACTGGCAGGCAGCTCTGGCGGTGGACATAGTCTGTAGCGCTAACTCGATGGCTACACCTCTCTCGGTACAAGGCCAGCAGTGACCTCTCAGGAGAAGGGTGGACAGTTCCCTCCCGTGTGATTTACAGCCTCCAGAAGCCCACTGGAGGGTCAGCTAGGAGTCTGCTCTGACTCGATGACAATCAGCTTGTTTTGTTTGGTTAGGGAGGTGGACATTGCCATGTGAGGAGATACATAGGCCCAAGAAAAGCTGTGAAAGGAATGAATGGTGATCAGGACTGGAGTGTGAGTGGGGATGATGTTAGCTCCACGGACCGGGGTGTCCACCGAGGTGACATTAAGGCAGCAGCCAGCCAGAGAAAGAGAGGAGGGAAGGGTGTTTTAGGAAGAGCGAACAGCAGTGGTGTAGGTTGGAGGTCAGAGAAGTGGTTAAGGGGTTTGATCAAAGTGTGCTGACAGCTGTGGGTGAGTGTTCTACAGGACCACAGTGGGGTTGGATTTACCTTTGAGAGCAATCTCTCCAGTTCCCATTTGGAGAAGCAGCTGTAAGAAACAGGGTTAGAAACAAAGAAACAAAATCATTTTAAACTTTCTGGAGGAGGATACATACATTTTATGTTGCTTAGTTGTTGCTGCCTGCAATCAAGTCAGAACTGACCCAAAGCTTACCCTCCAGCGAGTTTTCAGTCTGTTAATCACACGGAGGAGATTGTCCATCCTTCTCCCGAGGAACAGTGGGTAGATTCCAGCCGCCTGCA